ATGGAAGACTTCTTAGGAGAAACAAAGCTTAGGGTTTTGTTCCTTAATCTTCAACGATCATTTTTTGTTAAATAAGTTCTATTTAAAAGTGAATGGAAATAGATACAGTGAGTACTGCAAGTTCTTGAATGGTGGCTGATCATAGAGAAGAAAGGTCGCAGAAATTTTGTAGGTTTGAAGAGAAGAAACAAGAAGAAAACACCTAAAGACATTTAAAAGCTAAACTAACCACTTTTTTTTACTTTTCTCCTCCTTTAACCAATTAAATTGAATAACTTGCTAATTAATCCTTTTTTCCTTCTTCTTAGGTCGGTCATAAAGCCCAAATGGAGAGGAAGAACTGACTTGGACAATAGGAAACTTAGTAACTTAGTAATAAGCTTACTTTGTTAACTTAACCATTATTTTAACTTATAAGGATTTTCATTAGTTGTTTTTATTATAACTTTGACCTAATTTTAATAATTAATCTAATCATAATTAGACTCTAAGGTCACTTTAACCCCATATAATTTGCCATACAATTTAACTAGACTGACAAAATTTAGTTCACACATAGTTTCGTCAAATTACCAAAATAACTCTATCTTTACCAAATTGACATCTATGCCTCTCAACTAGGGGTTAAAGTGGACTTGGCTGGGCCAAGATTTGCCCCAAAAAACCCAAGTCTAGGCCAAAAAATATCAAATTGGCCTGGCCCGAGCATAATATGAGTCTGACTGTTAGCCTGGCTTGACCCGTTTATAAAAAAACAAATGGTCTGGCTTGACCCGTTAGCCTGTTAATTTTTAACTTACAAGCAGAACCATGAATCAACTTCACAGAATACTCAAATTCTATTGAAAAAAAAAATCACAATTTCAACGTCCAAACAGAATCATGAATCACAGCAAAACTCATCACAATATGCATTTAAGTCACTTTCAAAAGCAAAATGCTCAAACTAAATAACAAATATTTCGTCAGATCCAATTAACAAATCTATACTATGTAAATTAAAATAACTACATAAATCCAACAAATACATCATGATGCTTGTAGTAGCCAAAAACTTCTCTTCATCTTCTCTCCCCTACAAATACAATTCCAAGATTACATAAGTTGGTAAACAATTTGTAAATGTAGAAAACAAAAAACAAGAATAAATAATAGAAACAAAAAAATAAGATTAAGGAACAAAAAATATTTTAATAGATTCATATAGGCAATCTCACATGCTGAGATGTTGGTTCCTCCTACATAAAAAATAAAGTCAAATTTATAATAAAATTTAATCGAACATAATTAAATTATAATCAAATTCCTATTACGTAGCCAATCTCCGTCGTATATTAAAGCTTGGATGGTATCTTCAGCCAAGCTAGAACGATAGACACCAATAACTCTTCCTCCAGCTCTAAATGTTGATTCGGATGTATTGTAGAGATTGGTATAGATCTTATGCCACTCTCAAAGATAGTGTTGGTAAAGGAACGAACATAGGTCCTTCCACCACCTACTTAGCTCACATGCACCAACTGAACTATCACTATTTGGTATTACTATGAATAATATTATTTTATTTAATTTAAAATAAATAATATGATATAGACCGCCCTGTAGGCTTATAGGCCCGGCATGTAAAAAAAAGCCTATCATCTACTTTCTAAATAGGCTTCTTTAAAAGCCCGAGTCTATTTTATTTGACTATATGTAATATGCCAAGCCCGACTTGATATAGGCTAGGCCATAGGCCCCTGTAGGCCAGCCCGACCCATTTTTACCCCTACTCTCGACATAACTTATACTTCTATTTAGGTCCTAATTGAATTGTTAGGCATGAATTGTATCCTCATATTCATAATCATGATAATTTCATGATTTAACTATCAGAATTCTTACTGAATTGACAATTAACTCTTAAACATGTACTTTGGAGGCGTTTGGAAGAGGAGAAATTTATCTTTACTAGGGAAATAAAATTACTAGGAATATGATGGAAAAGTTATTTTGGTAAGAAAGTTAAAAAACAGTTGTTTGGTAGGCCAAAATATTACCGGAAAAATTGGGTTAAATTTTCTGAGTCTATGTTTGGTTAAAGGTAAAAGATTGATGGAAAAATGGGTTGAATTAACGAAAATAACCCTTTTATAATTTTTGAATCTGAAGAACCTTTATCAAAACACATTCGATTAGAAGAGGGTATTTTAGTCAGGTATTTCATCCCTTTTTTTCCATTTAGCAGGTTATCTTAAAATACCACCTTTGAAGTGGTATTATTGCACAGTGTTTTTCATCCCATTTTGCAAGCAATTGTCAAACTCTGGGCAAATAAGTTTGCTGGAAAACTCCTACCAAAACAAGGACAACATAGAATACCAATATTAGATGTCTGGGTATCTTCAAAGAAAACTCCTACCAAACACCACATTAATTCCTTTTTAGCAAATCTTACTAGTGGGGGTTGTTATACATTGACCACCCTTCAAGTCCAATGAACTCTCGTGTGAGAGGGCATGTTAGGGTGTGCGTGACAACCATTCTGTTCTCTGACACTATTTCTAAAAAAAAAAAAATTCTTTTCTATTTCTGTGCCTTGGAACAATTTTTGAGAAAAAAATGTGTTTGATAACATGTTCTATTTTTATTCCGAGAATGAGAATTACGTTTGATAACACAATAAATAATGGAATAAAAAATCAGTCCTATTAAGCATAAATTTTTTTTGGATCATCACTTTTCTTTTCATATGGTGTGGTGGTGGTGGTTGTGACATGGTGGTGGTGGCGGTAATGGCTACGGAGATGGTAGTGGTAATGGTGGCAGTGGTGGTGGTGGTGGCGGCAATGGCGTGGTGATGGTAATAGTGGAGGTGGCGGTGATGGCATGGTGATGGTAGTGATGGCAATGGATTCAGCGATGGTGGTGGTGCTGGTAGTGATGGTGATGGTGGCATGGTGGTAGTGATGGTGGCGTTGGCATGGAGGTGGTGGTAACGACAACAGTGGTGGTACGACGATGGTGGCGTTGGTCGTGTCAAAATGGTGGTGGTGATGACAACGATGGTGGTGGTGATGACAACAATGGTGGTACATCGACGACGACAATGGTGTGGGCGATGGTTGTGTCTGGATGATGGTTGTGATGGTGATGGTAGTGGTGGAAAGTGATAGAGAGATAAGTGTTTCTCATTTCGTGTCCGAGAACAAAAAAAAATTCGATTCTTGTTTATATTCCCTAGCACAGAAATTGAGCTGGTGCATTCTCAAGAACAAAAAATTAAATTGATTTTGTCAAACACTGTTTCTATCTATTTCTCTTTCCAAAAACAAAAATTAAAAAAAAAATGATTTTTTTGAAAGTTGTCATGCACACCTTTAAAGATATATAAAACCATTAATGTAACATCACCCAACTACTTAAGCTTTTTGGGTTGAATCGATTCTTTACAATCTAAACGTATATAAAAAAATATTAAGGGATCCACGGAAAAATCACAAGAAATGATAAAAATAAAAATAAATAATAAAATTCAATAATAAAATCAAAATGATAAAAAATTGAAATTGTTCTGTTCATTCATTGGAAATATTCAATGAGCCTTAATACAAGATTAAAATAGTCTATGCTCCTTTAACCCTCACTAAACTAGAATTAAGAGAACACACAAAACTAAGAGTGAACTCATTAATTAAGTTGCATCGTTCAAAAGTCAAAAGTCAAATAAAAGGGAGTCAAATGAAGAGTTGAACTCATTAATTAAGTTGCATAATTCAAAAGTCAAAAGTCAAAAGTCAACAAATTTAAAACTACTTTTTCATTCAATGGAGAATGGAGATATTCAACTATCCTTAATTTCAGTCAAAATTTTATTATTAAATTGGTAATAAATACAATTATAGATTTAATGCATGACATCGCTTCTTATCCTGTCATATAAGAGGAAGAGAGATCCTGTGTGTAAAATCCCGTGTTACGTAGCATATTAGCTGCAGACAATCTTTGAAAAAGAATGACGAATGCTTCAACTAAATTAGTCCTCTTTCTGTTCCTCTTTCTGGTTGCAACTGGTATTCCTTCTTCCTTCTTCTGTCTTTTGTATGTGCCTTTGTTAAATATGCATAAAAGCAACTTAAAAATAAGAGTTAAAAAAATTCAATTTAGCTAGATATTTAATAAAATATTAAAATAAATAAGTGGATACTGAATATGTTACGTGTGAAGTCGTAGTCAAACTATATGCTTGCGATTATAATTAGCTTAAATAATTTTTGAAAAAAAAAACAGGTACAAATATTAAATTGAGGTCCCCTTTCTATGATAAACCTACCCTCCATTTTGGTGCCTTAGTGGGCCTAGTATTTCCGGCAATTGCAATGGCTTCCTTATTTCTTCATGTTCAAAAAAACAAGATTTTTTAGATACGGATAGTGGAGACAAATCTCGTATTTTTTTTTTTAGATCTGGAAGCAGTTCTATGATTTCCTCCTAAAGGTTTACATCAAAATAATGCTAGTTGATGAAAGTTACTTCGGATCGGATAAGTAAAGTAAAATTCATTATGCTTGGGTTTTTTTATTTCCCCTATTCCAATAAAGTAGAACTGGATCAAGTATGAGTTGGCGATCAGAACGTATATGGATAGAACTTATAACGGGGTCTCGAAAAACAAGCAATTTTTGCTGGGCCTTTATCCTTTTTGTAGGTTCATTGGGGTTCTTATTGGTTGGAGCTTCCAGTTATCTTGGTAAGAATTTGTTATTTTTATTTCCGTCTCAGGAAATTCTTTTTTTTCCACAAGGGATCGTGATGTCTTTCTATGGAATTGCGGGTCTCTTTATTATTTCTTATTTGTGGTGTACAATTTCGTGGAATGTGGGTAGTGGTTATGATCGATTCGATAGAAAAGAGGGAATAGTGTGTATTTTTCGTTGGGGATTTCCTGGAAAAAGTCGTCGTATTTTTCTCCGATTCCTTATCAAAGATATTCAGTCCATCAGACTCGAAGTTAAGGAGGGTATTTCTACTCGCCGTGTCCTTTATATGGAAATCATAGGACAGGGAGCCATTCCCTTGGCTCGTATTGACGAGAATTTGACTCCGCGGGAAGTGGAACAAAAAGCTGCAGAATTAGCTTATTTTTTGCGTGTACCTATTGAAGTATTTTGAAAAAAAAAAAGAACGCTTTTTTAGGGAAAAACATTTTTTCGAAATTTTTGTATTTTAAATTTAAAAAAGGGGCATTCTTTTATTTTGAAATTCAACTTCATTATGATAAGTGTTCTTTTTTTGTGTATTCATGAAAAGGAATAATTCCTTCGAATCTTAGCAATTGATATCTTCTGATGAAAGGTTCTTTTTTTGTTCATTCGAATTGGGAGTGGATTCTTTCGCTTTCTTATTTTATTAGGTTTCTGTTTTCTTTCTAAATTAAAGATTATTATCATAAAGATTATTATCATATAGGGTTTGACGAAACGAATGAGGTGAAGCTGAGTTCATTAAAGATACAAAATGGCAAAAAAGAAAGCATTAATTCCCCTTCTATATATTACATCTATAGTCTTTTTGCCCTGGTGCATCTCTTTCATATTTACGAAAAGTCTGGAATCTTGGATTGTCAACTGGTGTAATACTAGGCAATCCGAAATTTTCTTGAATCTGATTCAAGAAAAGAGTATTCTAAACAAATTCATAGAATTCAAGGAACTGTTCCTATTGGATGAAATGCTAAAGGAATACCCGGAAACACGTCTACAAAACCTCCGTACCGGAATTTACAAAGAAACCATCCAATTGATCAAGAAGCACAACGAAGAACATATTCATACTTTTTTGCACTTCTCGACAAATATTATCTATTTTGTTATTCTAAGTGGTTATTCTATTCTAGGTAATCAAGAACTAATTATTCTGAATTCTTGGGTTCAAGAATTCCTATATAACTTAAGTGACACAATAAAAGCTTTTTCTATTCTTTTATTAACCGATTTATGTATAGGATTCCATTCAACCCACGGTTGGGAACTAATGATTGGTTCTGTCTATCAAGATTTTGGATTTGTTCAGAATGGTCAAATTATATCGGGTCTTGTTTCTACTTTTCCGGTAATTTTAGATACCATTTTTAAATATTGGATTTTCCGTTATTTAAATCGCATATCTCCCTCCCTTGTAGTGATTTATCATTCAATGAATGACTGAAAAAACGATTCACTGGTGTAATTCTAAAGTTTTTTATTTTTTACAAAAGTTCTAAACATTCAAAAATTGACTTATTTTTTTTCTTTCTACCCACTCAAGGGATTCTTCCTATATTCTAGGAAAATTATTCCACTAAATAGCAGAATCGTGGATAGGGAACTATACCAGCCACCGAATCTTATTGTAGAAATTTTCAGGATCAATGGATTGGACCATGCAAACTAGAAATGCATTTTCTTGGATAAAGGAAGAGATTACTCGATCTATTTCCATATTGCTCGTGATATATATAATAACTCAAGCACCCATTTCAGGTGCATATCCTATTTTTGCACAGCAGGGTTATGAAAATCCGCGAGAAGCAACCGGCCGTATTGTATGCGCCAATTGCCATTTAGCTAATAAGCCCGTGGACATTGAGGTTCCACAAGCGGTACTTCCTGATACTGTATTTGAAGCAGTTATTAGAATTCCTTATGATGTGCAAGTGAAGCAAGTTCTTTCTAATGGTAAAAAAGGTACTTTGAATGTGGGGGCTGTTCTTATTTTACCGGAGGGTTTTGGATTGGCCCCTCCCGATCGTATTTCGCCTGAACTAAAAGAAAAGATAGGTAATCTGTCTTTTCAAAGCTATCGTCCTACCAAAGAAAATATTCTTGTGGTAGGCCCTGTTCCTGGTCAGAAATATAGTGAAATCACCTTTCCTATTCTTTCCCCAGATCCCATTACTAATAGAGATGTTCACTTCTTAAAATATCCTATATACGTAGGCGGTAACAGGGGGAGGGGTCAGATTTATCCCGACGGGAACAAGAGTAATAATAATGTTTATAATGCTACGGCAGCAGGTATAGTAAACAAAATTATAAGGAAAGAAAAAGGGGGGTACGAGATAACTATAGTGGATGCATCAGATGGACGTGAAGTAATTGATATTATACCTCCAGGACCAGAACTTCTTGTTTCAGAGGGCGAATCTATTAAACTTGATCAACCGTTAACGAGTAATCCTAATGTGGGTGGGTTTGGTCAGGGGGACGCGGAAATAGTACTTCAAGATCCGTTACGTGTCCAAGGTCTCTTATTCTTCTTCGCATCCATTATTTTGGCACAAATCTTTTTGGTTCTTAAAAAGAAACAATTTGAAAAGGTTCAACTGTCCGAAATGAATTTCTAGGTCCGCACATTTATCAACATATTAAGCTCGTAAAAAGAAATAAATTTTAGTTTTGATCAATTATGTAATTCTATTCTGTATTCTATATAATACAAAAATCTTAAAAAGATCTTTGCTTCTTTTTAGTCTTTTTTTTACCCCCTATTCAGAAAATTCTTTGTACTTGGTACTAAACATAAAAAAATAGACAGAGAATATAAAGAAACACTTCAGAAATAGGAATGGGAAAAGAATAGAAATGGGGAAAGTGGGATTCTAGGAAGAATTTTTTATCTTTTCCTAGAGTCCGATTCCTTCTTGCTTGTGTCTAATGTGTGTAAATAGAAATTGTAAAATTGTACATAGAATAAAACTTCCGGATCCCCTTCCTGAAAGAATCATATTAAATATCTTAGCTTAGTTTCTATTTTCTTCAACTTAGAACCTTTTTGACATAGAATATTTTTTTATTGCCTAGAATAGGTAGTGGAGTAGTGGACAAACAAAAAAGAGTGGGGTTTAATTGACCAAATACAACTTCTTGGATTTACTTGTTTAGAAAAAAAAATATTTGAATCATAATTCGATACTATTCGAGAGAGACTAAAATAGAGGGAGAGTACGATTCTATTAGTATAGAGGGGGTTTTGTGAAATTTGCGCCGCCCAGACGAAATAAATCAAGTGATTTCTTTGATTCCTTCTTTCTTTTACTTTTCTTTCAACTTCCAAAAAAAGTATTGACAGATAATCTCCAGGAAAGGGTGTTTTGAATCAATTCATGAAGTTCACTTTACAAAAACATAAAAAAAGAAATGGAATGTTTTGAAACATCGGAAAAAGCTATCCGTTGAGTTATTTATACTAATAAAGAATATTCTTTAAGTTATTAATAATAAGAAGAACTCAACGGGACCCCTCGAATTCGTCAAAGAAAGAGTGGATCCCTGTTGAGTTCTTACACTCTGATTTCGCAAACTCAATTCATCTGATTACTACAGGGATGAGCCCAATCCGGAATATGAATGAACCATAAAAGAAAATACCAATTAAACCGATCAAAGTAATACCTGTTACAGTGCCTATTATCCAAAGAGGAACCCTTCCAGTAGTATCAGCCATTTATCCCACTTTCCTCCCCATTTGATCCAGTAGTCATGCTAGAGACATAAACAGTCGTAGATAATTATAAAATGATATCCTTCCGAATGGGATAAGGTAATTCCTAATATATATTTACAACTCCCCTTTCTTCTATTAATTGAAGAAGTAATTTGAAAATAAAACAGCAAGTACAAAAATGAGTAATAATCCCCAGTAGAGACTGGTACGATTTAATTCAACATTTTGTTCGTTTGGGTTTGATTGTGTCATAGCTCTATAATTTTTATTAGGTTTATCGTTGGATGAACTGCATTGCTGATATTGATCCCAAAAAAGAAACGGTGGGTACCGCTAGTCCGTGAACAGCCAACCATCGTACTGTAAAAATGGGATAGGTCCTATCTATGGTCATTGGCGCCTCCTAAAAAGATCTACTAAAATTATCGAGTTGTTCCAAAGGATCAAAACGGCCAGTTATTAATGGAATTCCTTGTCGGCTTTCTGTAAATTTTGTATCAAAAACAGAAACTTCAGAAACTTAGGGAAGTGCTTTATAAATATATGTATAAAAAGAACATATTTCATTCAGCCTCTTTATGTCCACTATAACTAGTTATTTCGGTTTTCTACTGGCGATTTTAACTATAACCTCAGCTCTATTTATCGGTCTGAGTAAGATACGACTTATTTGATTGGAAATTTTGAAATGAATTGGAAATGGAACAGTAAGGAACTCTAGAATATACAACAATTTCCAATTCTTCGTCATTTAGATTCATGGTAAAAAGAAAGATATATTTAAGGATAAATATTACCTCCCCCCTTTCCTTTCAAACAAATTAAAATGATTGAAGTTTTTCTATTTGGAATCGTATTAGGTCTAATTCCTATTACTTTGGCTGGATTATTTGTAACTGCATATTTACAATACCGACGTGGTGATCAGTTGGACTTTTGATTAATTAACATCTCTGTTGTGTATTGACCTCCTATTTCTTTGTTTTAAATTCTAACCCACAGGGGGTCCATTTAAGACTTTAGACTTCTGTTCAATGATTTCAGTGTCCTATTCTCACAATCTAACAAGACAAGAATGGAATCACGCTCTGTAGGATTTGAACCTACGACATCGGGTTTTGGAGACCCGCGTTCTACCGAACTGAACTAAGAGCGCTTTATTATCATAAATAATTTGATACGACCCCGCCAATACAGCTTGCATGCATATGCTATACTAATCAATAGATTCCGATATCGGAATCTATTGATATAGTCTGTATGTCCAATTTGAATCTGAGCCCTTGTTACTGCTCATACGATCTGATAACGAATAGTTAGGGGTAGGGATGACAGGATTTGAACCCGTGACATTTTGTACCCAAAACAAACGCGCTACCAAGCTGCGCTACATCCCTTTCCATTGGTTTCCAGTGTCATTGTAAAGAATCTTTGTCTTGTTTTCCACATTTTTTTCTTTATTTTCTACGTTGATATATATATCAATTATCTTGCCATTTTTTCTTTTTAGTTTCATATCCTAAAATATAGAATATAAAAAAGAAAGATATTGAATTAAAAAATATTCTATTAATAAAATTCACAATTATAGTGAAATAGAAAAATAGTAATATAATTAAATAAAAAGAATACTTTATGAAGATTTTCTAATTACTATCTATTACATAGAATATTATATAGAATATACAATAATCATAATAGAATTTAGAAAGAAGAATGAAAAAAATTCTTATAATATATAATAATTAAAATGATAATAAGACAAGATTTTTTTTGAAATAAAAATAAATAGGAAATTCCCCTTAAATAAAACAGAAAGATATTTTTAGAGAATGCTCGGGCAGAAGCAGAAATAGACCTCTTTATCTTTGTTAAATGAAATATCTAATGAATCATCGTACATGTCAAGTACATTTCCATTTGAATTGGTAATCCTGCCGACAAATATAAACGATTATTAACGAAATAGTCATCAAATCAAATCGTATTTGTATGTAATTATGCATTTAAAATTACAATAAAGACTAAAAAGAAGGAGGATTCGAAATGCGGGATATAAAAAAATATCTCTCTGTGGCACCAGTGATAAGTACTCTATGGTTCGGGGCTTTAGCGGGTCTCTTGATAGAGATCAATCGTTTATTCCCGGACGCATTGATATTCCCCTTTTTTTCATTTTAATTTTTGGCACGGGAGGGGGCAAAGATTGGAGATCCAATCAAATATCTTTGATTAACCCCCTCCCCTCTTCTTTAATTTCTTTTTTTTAGAATTAGAGAATAAGTTCGAAAAGATAAAAAATAAAAACGGATAAGGCCTCCGTGAAACTGGGAATTTTGTCCAGGCTTCAATGGAATTTCATTAATAATTTCGATTATGGAATTATTAATGAAACTCTATTTCTATAAATAATAGAGTGAGGCCAGAAATGGAGTTGGAATGGAGACAACAATATCATCATAAACCTTTAATAATATATATATATATATATATATTAAACTAAACCTTTAATAGTTTGAAATCATTGTATTACTAAATTCTTACTGTACTGTAATAAATCTTAAATGAATTCGAACAAAGTCTTTCCTACATAATTGGATTTCGAATTATCAACTTCCACTTTTTTTGTTCCTTTCTTCTTCTATTAAAATCCGAAAATCGAAGAGTTAAGTGAATCAAAAACCCAAAGGAGGTTCATGGCCAAGAAGGGTAAAGATATCCGAATAACTGTTATTTTGGAATGTAGCGGTTATGATAAAAAGGATGTGAATAAGGAATCAAAGGGTATTTCAAGATACATTACTCAAAAGAATCGACACAATACGCCCAGTCGATTGGAATTGAAAAAATTCTGCCCCTGCTGTTGCAAACATATGATTCACGCTGAGATAAAGAAATAGAGAAAATGGATTACTTGTTTGTCACCCTTCCCAGGAACGTGAAAAATGATCTATTTTTAATATATATCTTCTATATATGTATAAAAAAGTCAGATTCTATTTCTATTATAGAAAAAAATCTTCTAGAAAATAGATTTCATTGGATAACAACCTATATTTTATTCATATGGTAAATCTAGTAATAATTTAAATAGACCTAAAAAATTCCTTTTTTGAAAAAAAAAAGTGTATTTTTAGGATAGGAATTAAAAATCATGGATAAATCTAAGCGACTCTTTCTTAAATCCAAGCGATCTTTTCGTAGGCGTTTGCCCCCGATCCAATCGGGGGATCGAATTGATTATAAAAACATGAGTTTAATTAATCGATTTATTAGTGAACAAGGAAAAATATTATCTAGACGTGTGAATAGATTGACCTTAAAACAACAACGATTAATTACGATTGCTATAAAACAAGCTCGTATTTTATCTTCGTTACCTTTTCTTAATAATGAAAAACAATTTGAAAAAATCGAGTCGACCGCTAGAATTACTACTACCGCTCTTAAAAAAAAAAATATAGAAATTTAATGAGCGTTAGTTGGAGAGTAAAATATTATATGCTCGTTCAGTTGCTTTACTCTCACGAGTCGCGAAACTGAAATTAAGGGGGCGTTTGTTACGCTGATTATATTTTGTAATGGGAAAGTTAATTTGGAAAGAGTTTTATAAGAGTTATATTGTAGAAAAAGTGATTGTGTAATATTATAGAGATTCGTTTTGCGTGCCTTAATATTTTTATTTTTTTTGCTTTAAAAAGTGCAGGCCCCACAAAATGTTGTGTGTAAAAAACTTTTTTGTGTCATATTATAGGACAAAACGAAAGCCCATTTGGAAATAGTTGTTTGCAGCGTTTGGTACAAAATAAGGGAGAGTTTCTTGGGTAAAAATATTACCAGATTTTATCTTTTATTTGTAACTATATGTACGGCAAGAGCAAATGGAACTCCATTGAATGTGTGGAATAGTATGTAGCCTGCGGATGTGAAAAAGAACCGCGAAAATATATACCAAAATAACCTTGTGTGATTGTACTATGTCTGAATGAAAAAGTAAATGTGGGGTATTCTTGTAAAATAACTTCACTTTCCTACTACTATTTTACAATCAACCAAATAATAATTCAAAAAATTTAATCAAATTATCCCAGAAAAATTTTAGTCAACCAAACGTTTTTTTGTAACTTACCAGGAAATAAATAGTTCCTACTAATTTTTTCGTAATATTTGTTTTTCCAGTAAAATTGTTTTTCTCCTGTACGAAACGCCTGCTAAGAGAAAAGACAAAACTAAGAGTAAATAGAAAAATAAAAAACAATTAAATGTAGAGTTAAATGAAATAAAATAAGATAATAATTTTACTAAAGTCAACTTGTCATAAAGTGAATTCATTAAAATATAAGTTGAACCAATAAAGATGCATTTATCATTGACATAATTTAAGATATATAATGATTTCAATTCACCAAAATTTAAAAATAAATATACTATATGATCTGGATAAAATAGGATAGGCCCATTAAAGGCCAGAATCCAGAGAACAAGGCCCAAACCTACAAGGCCAAGAATGAGGCACGATGTCATCAATCGCGCATCAGAGGGCGCGATGCTACCATCGCGTCCAAACCGCCCTTCAGCATAACTTAAGAGATAAGGAAGCAATCACAGGAACTAATAAAGATCCACTGCACCATTGAACAAATAAACAGAATACAGCACCAGCTTGCCACCATCTACCAAGATAGCCTGACATAATGAGATAAGGTTATGGAAGCACCAGCTGAACTTGCAGCCCACAAACAGCCAATCAGAGGCCATACCGCCTTCCTCTACATAATAAAACCTGCTTGAACCATATCTGACTTGAGCGTCGGAGTGTCTTGCAGGTACACCCCACATCTTGTTTCATTGAAGACCCCTGCGTTAAAGCTGCTCCAACTGCAAGATGCTCTAACTCAAGGTCGTTCCAAGCCATTTGTGTAAAGGAAGATCACATGATCGGCCCAGTTGTAAAACCGGTTCTGATCATTGGCGCTGTCTGTGGGGATGATAAATCTCTACTAACACTACCATATACAAAGCAAGCAAGATGACTGCAGTATACCAGGAAAGCTCTCTTTCTCTTTACATTTATTCTTGCAATCATTACCACGTTATCTGCACAAGACTCCTTGCTAGCATGCAATAGTCGTACTGTGCAATATGTTAACAAAGATAATATATGCATAAAGTCATATAAGTATATTGCGCATAGCACAAAGCTCATGCGCGATGCAAGATGGAAAGCGCATAGCACAAAGCGCATGTTTCAAAGCTTATGCATTAGATGTGCGATACGACATGCTCTTTATATATATATATATATATATATATATATATATATATATATATATAGTTTTAAAACTATCTTGCGACTTGGATTATGTAGTTTATTGGTTCAACACCGCACATTAGCAAAACTATAATGCGCGGTTCTACACAAATGTAGGCTTTAATAAAATTGCATTTATATATAGCTTATTGGTTCAAGAAGATGTTTAACATGATAATTGCATTGATATCCTCTACGAGGGAGTTTGCAACATGAAGGCCATCTGTACTTGGTAAAAAAATCACAAATTTTGGTATGTGATATGTATCTCCTAGCAATCAAGACTTCAATAATGTGTGGCACTTTCAACAACCGAGACCAAATACATAGCTGCGACTAAGGCGAGCATAAAAATGTTGTAGATGAAGAAGTTTCTCTCAGAACTCAGCCATGATCAAGACAAGTACAAACTGAAGTGTGATAATCAAAGTGCATTCCACCTTGCGAAAAACTTGACCTAACACTCCCGCACTAAACACATTGCTGTGAAGTATTATTGGATCCGGGATGTGGTGAAGGATGGACTGCTCGAACTCATCAAAGTGAACACGGACCTGAATTGGTCTGATATGATGACCAAGTTGGTACTAGCAAAATAATTTGAAGACTGTTGTGAGGGTGTCGGGTTGCTGTTAATGCTAACGCATTGAAGTCGAAAAGGGAAGATTTGTTGGAAGTTGTTCCTTCCTTCAATGCTGCACAAAGGCTCAAGGGCACACCTTTGAGTAGCTCAAGGTTGTCCCCTTGTCTCCCCATGTTCCATGATTGCTTCTAGAATTTTCCCTCTTCCTCTATACAAGCTTGTGGTGTGAGAGTGACGGGTTAGAGACTTGAAGAAAAACTTATAGCTTAAAATTTGTGAACACCTCTAGAGAGAAGCCTAAGTGTTAGACCTCCTTAAGGAAGTTTGAGTGTACCACCAATTGTTGGTGAACTTTGATCATTTGTAACCCATTGTTTACATAGCGAAAGTTTGATTCTAGACTCGCGTACCGTGGGTTTTTACTTCTTCATATTGGAGAAGGTTTCTCCACGTTAAACAACTTGATTGTGTTCTTCTCTATCTCTCTCCTCTGCATTCTCTCTTATTTCCGTTGTGTAGGCCCAACAAGTCCATACCCCACAAGGGCGTGAATTCAAACCCCGCTGGCCGATGTGAGGACTTTGTTGGTGGGTGATATGTAATCTCTCCCAAAAATTCTCAAAGAGGTTGGGTCTTCCCTGACTCTGATGAAGTACGAGTACCTAACCTCACTTAAACTTTTTCACAAAAAAAAAAATAATAATAATAAAATAAGTGAAGCAAGAAATGAAATTAAACAGTTTCTTCTATTGAAAGAATTACATTTTCGTAAAATACATACAATAAAAAAATGGCCTTTTTTATTCAGGAAAGTCTCCTTTTTATTTTCAAGAGCCACAATTATTGAGTTATTTTAAGTAAACATGGACAGTCAATTGAGGCACGACTTAGCCAATGTTTTCTCCTCAATGAGCTCTTGGGCCGTTTTATCCATCTTTTCCCTTGAGAATTCATTGATCTTGAGCCCTGCCAAAGTATCAAACATTTCAAATAAACCCATGACTTTCATAACTTCATTCATAAAGATTCAAAAACATCTTCAAAATTTAGAAACAAGTGTATCATAAACATAAATTTGTTGTGGTTTCTGATTCCTATATCTAAGTTAACATAATTAAGAGTCTGTTGCAACTTGCAACCATATAGAAAAGAAAAAAGAAATTAAATCCTAAGTATTTTTTAAGAAAAAACAGTGTACCCTGTACAATATTCCAGTCTCCTTTTTCACATGTGACAGGAAAAGAGTAAATGAGGCCAGGTTGGATACCATAAGATCCATCAGAATACACTCCCATTGATACCCATGTTCCCTGAAGCAGATACAAATACAATAAAAAGTAAAAAAGTATAAAGAGTTAGTACCAAAATTATAAGGAAGCAACAACTTGCAAAGGATGAAATTCTACTAAAGAGAACCAACCTTAGGACTGCCTAGAACCCAATCACGTATGTGATCACAAGCAGCACTTGCTGCTGATAATGCACTAGACAGCTTCCTGGCTTTAATAATGGCAGCCCCACGCTGCTGAACAGTGGTGATGAACTCAGTGTTTAGCCTAGGACAAATGAAAAAAAAGAAAATTACTTTCCTAATAAAGGAAATTGCAAGAGTATGCTTGAAACATTTCGATATTATTTACTCATCATTATAGGGAAATGTTAGAATCATGTAACAGGAACCAAAACCACTGTCCTGTACAAACAACTTTCAGTGGGACCCATGAATTAAAAGAAAAGAAAGAGGTGTTGTTATCGATAAAAAATTGTGAGTGCAGGAACATTTTGGTTGCTTCATGTTACATAACTCTCACATTTCCCATCATTATATACACATACGGGTTCGGACATGAGAAACAGTCTCTTTGCTATAAATGTAAGGATAAGGTTGCATACAATCAATCTTCATCCTTACCCTCACAAATCGGGGAGCTTTGTGCACTGGAGTTTGGCTTTTATTATATACACACATTGTTGATTGAATGGTAACAGATTTAGTTTCTTAATGGTAGCTTGATAAGGATCAACACTTCCACATCTAAGGCCTGTTGGGACTCCACAGATTCTGGGTATAGTTCCATAGATTCCCAAGAAAGTGTATTATGCCTTGGTGGAGATGAATTGAATGAACATGCAACCAGGTCTATAAAGAATAAACTTGCTACATTAAAGAAAAGGCACTTTCTTTTCTTGGGGGAAAGAAAACGCGGTGGATTTATGTGCCCCTTATTTTACTCGGTGAAGTTTGTTAGTTGAGTATTCAGACCCTAAAAGGTAGGAAGTTTAGTACTTTATTACCCCTTGTCACATAAAACAATTACAGTCATCCAAAATACTCAAATGAGAACCCAAACATGTCAAGAATAGTGACCAAAGTCTCACGTTTGGACAAAAAAATTACCAGACTGTCATGCCAACAGTAAATTTTGTCAAAATGTCACGCGGTATAATTCGCTACACAGTGTAGCGAATTTTGCATGCAAGTAATTCGCTACACAGTGTAGCGAAATATGCCACGTCAGAACCAAAAATGCCACATGTCAAATTTTGAGAAATTCGCTACCTATGTAGCGAATTTCTCAAAATTTGACATGTGGCATTTTTGGTTCTGTGCGTTCTGACGTGGCATATTTCGCTACACTGTGTAGCGAATTACTTGCATACATAATTCGCTACACTGTGTAGCGAATTATGCCGCGTGGTATTTTAGCAAAATTTACTGTTGGCGCGGCAGTCTGGTAATTTTTTTGTCCAAACGTAACAAAATGGTCGCTCTCCCAACATGTCAATGACATAATGCAGCAATTATATTGGACTAACTTATATATTCTTCTATATTATTGAAAAGACAAAAGAGGGCTAGCTTAGAGGAGTAGGAAATCTGCTCTTTTGTGACCGAAATGTCACAGATTCAAAACAGGAAACAACTTTGCAAAAATGTAAGGGTCACTCTTACCGTAACAAGTCGGGGTTTTATGGAAAATGATTTTATTATTGAAAAGACAAAATAATAAAAGTAAACAGGATGTCCAAAACATAATATTATAAACAATTAAAAGGAGTGAGATTGAGATGGTGTGAAACTAAGGTACCAGTTATCATCATCAACTAATTCTCTGACAGGCTTCTGACCATTGCTGGTGGTGACGGTTGCATGGTTAACATCTGGATATTGGGTTGAGGAGTGATTGCCCCAGATGATGACATTTTTTACATCACTAACATGAACATTTAGCTTCTCAGAGATTTGGCCTAATGCTCTATTGTGATCAAGTCGTGTAAGACATGTGATGTTCTTTTCTGGGATTGAAGGAGCAAATTCTTTCAAAATGAGAGCATTTGTGTTTGCTGGATTGGCAACCACTAGCACCTGCATTCAGCAAGAATTGAAATGTCAGAATATAAGAGGAGCAACTAGGTGCTAGAGGACTAGGATGCATGGTGATCCATATTCATATGAAGTTATATCTTACTCATTCTACATTTTGACAGATAGTATCAATAAACCTGTAGTGCCAAATTAGTTAATGTTGTTATAAGAAACGATGTATAAGAATCAGTAGACATTTTTTTTTTTTTTTTGGATACAGAATCAGTAGACATTCTTAATAATAATAATAACATTAGACAGAATGTACATTATTTCATTGTATAGTCTCATCTACTAATAACACAAACAAATGACATAACCTCAGTTAACATCAATCCCACATAAAGAATATTTCAAATTGGAATGCCCATTATTAACCCTTTGAGATGTACTTCTTAATGTAAATGCTAACATAAGGTCTTTATCACTCTCACTTGAATTATCAACATTCTCCCCCTTAATAAAGGAGATAGTGGCTGGGGGATAAGTGGGTTTGGTATCACATCTCAACTTAAAATCTTAAGACATTAAATTTATAGGTCTTTTTCACTTATATATTTCTCACTTAGTCCATTTCTATCCGACATGATTTTAATCACTCACACTTAAATTATCAACAAACATAATCACAGTTCTCTTGTTCTCAAGTATGCTTATGTCAAAATACCAATAATTCACAAGGATAGTGAGGTGAAGAACAACACCCCAACAGAACCAAGTAAGAAAAGGGGGAATGTGGCCTTTATATTTTGAATAGTTTTATATTTCAGACAAAAAATTTAGTGTCAGCAACAGTGATATACGGCCAACTATTCTCAAAATTAAAATTAGCATAAAACTAGATAAAAGTAACTCTAAAGATGTTAATAAAGTAGTTTCTAACTTTACAATCTGCAGCAGCATGCTTCTCCAGGGCTGAAGCTTGAGCCTTGTAAATTGAAACATTTTTAGACATCACATCTTTTCTTTCCATTCCTTCCTTCCGTGGGAATCCACCCACCATAACAGCAATGTTGACATCCTTGCAAGCTTCAACAACATCCGTAGTAGCAACAACACCTATTGCATTTATATGCACAAACAATATTATGAGATCTCAACAAAGAAAACCATGATGAAATAACTGGACTGTACTTAGGTCAGCATTAATTATAAAAATATGCCTCTAAGAAGTGGAAAAGCAGCATCAATCAGTTCCATCTTCACCCCCTGTAAGGCCTCTGCTGCTGGTTCAATATCAAGCATATGCAGAATTACAGGCTGATTTGGACCCAGCATCACCCCTCTTGCAATCATTGGAACAAGAGCATAACCAATTTGCCCTGTTGTTGAACCAAAACAAAGTTAAAAGGTGCATGCCAATGAAGTTAAAAATTGTAATGCTTCAATCAAATTTTACTATCCCAGATTTCCCATCATGCTTATAACCATCAATTCCCACATGTTTTCCGTAAGTTTTTCAGCAGAATAAGACCATAAAGAAAACAATGCATGCTATGAAATTAAATTGAAGATAAAGATTCACAAAGGATATTTAAATTTTTGACACACGGAGGTAAGGAGGACAAATATTGAAGCAGTGGTAAGGTTGCTCCTTATAACCAAAAGTTCACAAGTCTCTTTGCAAAAATGCAAAGGTGAGGCCGCATACAATTGACCTCCACCCTTATCCTTACAAGTCAGGGAGCCTTGTATATCGGGATTTGCTCTTTGCTTTTTTCTATTTTCAATGTAATATGGAACAAAAAAACATGTTAGTGTGATAGAACATGATGAACATTTCATAAGGTTATCAAAATCATGCCTGCAGCACCGGTGACCAATACTCTTACTGGTTCCTTCTTTGCTTTGAGAAAACCGAACATGTATCTAATGATCTTCCAAAACAAAGAAATACAAACTAAAACAAAAAGAATTTTTTGAAGAACTGCATAGTCCACAATCTCCCAACGAAACATTTCCATGATCAGTTTCTGTTATGATCCACGGGAAACAACAATCTACATTATCTTTTTATACATGTAACATCAATTTGAAATCAAAGTATCCATGCACATTCCTCAATAGAAGGGCAATCATATACCAAAACTAAGTCTTCACGAAATAAAAGTACAAGAGAATCACCTTGACAACAAAGAAAAGAACATTCTTTAAAGTTTGGTCACGAAATAAACTAGGATGCGGGAAAATGAATTATGAAATCATAATTGGAATATTTATTCCTCACATTTTAGATGACAAACTTATAATGAATTAAAGTAATAAAATTAGCATTTTGTAAAGAAAATCATATTACCAGCAGCGCCAGTGACCAGAACTCTTACTGGGTCTGTGGCCATCATTTTCATCAAGAGTGGTTTTCGAAAGAAATATTGAGCTAAATAAAAATGTAACAATAGCAGAAAATGTTTGCTATATAAATAGATGAGAAAAAGTGAAAAGAAAAAAATGTGGTGAAGAGATAATTCTAGTCTAGTAATGAGACTTGTACTGCAACCGTTAGAGAGGAACGTGTCATTAATAAAGGAGAGAAAAAGTCTTTTCTTCCTATGTGATTTTTGTGCTGAGAAACTTTGTTTTATGCGATTAATGTTTATCACACGGGATTTGTTTTTCATGTCGTACGAGAAAATAAATTCTTCGTACACATATTATAAAAAGGTGTGCCATTTATTATACTCTGTTTTTGTTTTTTTTTTAAATAAGTGTGTCTCACACATGATGTATCTATGACATAAAATTAAAATTCTTCTACAACATAAAATTTATTTTTCCTTTATCATATTCATGGTTAATTTTACTTTTTCATATACATCTAAAAATATACGAGATTTATATAGAAACGTGAAGAGAATAAGAAAAAATTATAAACTTTACGTATTTTTATATAAACATAAGAAATAAAATTATCTCGTATAATATATTTAATAATATGTAAAACACTTATCTCTTATTTTATAGATTGAAATTAGGTTTTATTATCATCATATTATATGAGACGGATCTTCTTATGTTTTAAAAAAAAATTATGTGAAATTCATATATTAAAAAAAATTATGTGTCACGTCAATACAAAAATAAATGGATATGTATATAAAACCCATTGTAATTAGTGATACAAGAGTTTTCGTGAGTCATGGATCACTGTATCATGTCAGATAAGTGTAGAATCACTTTTTTCTTTTCAACTCAACTTTTTTTTTTTAATATAAAGTGCATTATAGGGATTTTCTTTACTTGCATAAAGCATTTGATATTGTCCTCCCACTTCTTCAATCACATTAAAAAAATAAACACAATTTTATTTCTGAATAGCAATGCCATATAATTAAAAAAATAGCCAAATAATTGTGGATAAATATCCTTATTATTTTTGAATCAAATCAATATTTTTTTTATTAATGCAATTACTTGTAGAATAGTTATCTCATATTCAGCTCAGTCAATTTAATGGTTGGTGTTTATCAAAATATTTTCGGGTAACTTTCTTCCTTGATTGTTCTATCTTCTTCTTCTTTTTCGAAACAATGTGTTTTTCTTCAAACCAAATGCGAAGAAAATACAAATGGGTAATTTGCTTTCTTTTTCTGTGTAATCTTTCAAATTACTTTGCCTATCTTTTCCGCATAGCATTGAGTAATCCTCTGTATCAGCATTTCTTTGAAAAAAAATTTCTAGATGCTTCTGGTTGTTGCAGCTTGTGATTCTCTTTCATAGTGGATGTGTGATGTATAGTGCTTATTTGACAGTGAGGTTATAGTGTTGCCCTTACAATTGCCGACGGTGTTATTATGAAGGAAGCATAAACCTAATTAATATCAATCGTATTAAACGGAATGCATTATTGTCTCTTGCCGCAATCTCATGAAATTTTTTAGGAATATTTTTCGGTGGCGTTTACTTTTCGTTCGAGTATTCTATCATTAAGATAAACTGCTCTAAACTAAGCCTTAGAAAAATTGAAGTGTCCTTGCAGGCGCACCTTATTCTTATTAGATCGGGGTGTCCATCACAACTATTCTATTCCCTAGCATTGTTTCTGGAAAGAAACAATTCTTTTATATTTCTGTGCTTTGGAACAGTTTCTGAGAAAAAAATTATGTTTGATAACATATTCTATTTTTATTCCACGAATGAGAATTGTGTTTGATAACACAACAAATAATATAAGAAAAAATATTTCCTATTAAATATAAAAAAATTTGGATTATCACTTTCCTTTCCATATGGTGTGGTTGTGGTGGCGGTGGCGCCGGGGGTGGCATGGTGGTGGCAGTGACATAGTGATGATAATGGTGGTAGTTGTGACGACAGTGGCTGCGGCGATGGCGGCGACGATGATAGTATAGTGGTGGTGGCTGGGACAATGGTGGTGGAGATGGTGGTTGGTGGCAACGACAATGGTAGCGGTGGCATGGTGATGGTGATGGTGGTGGTGGTGGTGACAGTGGCTATGACGGTGGTGGTAGGTGACAGTGGTGGTAGTGGTGGTGGTGATGGCGATGGTGTGGTGATGGTAGTGAGGAGTGGTGGCAATGTTGGTGGTGACGGTAGTGGCTGTGACGATAGTGGTGGTGGTTGGTGGCGGCGACGGCGACAACAATGGTGACTGTAGTGGCTGCGGCAATGGCAGTGGTGGTTGGTGATAGTGATGGTGATGGTAGCGGTGGCGTCATGGTTGTGGTAGTGGTGGCAATGGTGGCAGTAGTGTGGTGATGGTGATGGTGGTTGTTTGCGGTAGAGGTGATGGTGGTAGTGACAGTGATAATGGTGGTGGTGGCAGCGGCGATGGTAGTTGTGGTCGTGGTGACTGTGGCATGGTGGTAGTGATGGGTGGAGGTGGTGGTGATGGTGGCGGTGACATCGTGGTGGTTGGGGGTGGTGACGACAGCACTAGTGGTACAACGGCGGCGGCAACGATGGTGGCGGTGGTCGTGTCGGGATGATGGTGGTGGTGGTGATGATAGTAGAGGTGGAGAGTGATTGAGAGAGATAAGTGTTTCTCATTTTGTGCCCAGGAACAAAAAATAGAAATTTCCTGATTCTTTTTTCCGTTCCGCAGCACAAAAATTAAACCGGTTCATCCCGGGAACAAAAGAATAAACCAGTTTTACCAAACGAGTTTTCTATCCATTTCTGTTCCTGGAACAGAAATTAAAAAAAAAATTGAGTCCGGAAAAGTTGCCATGTATTCCTCAGTGTGAACCTATTTGCCCCAAGAATGCTTCCACCTAAGGGTGAAATTGGGCACGATCTTTTTGGTTACCAGTCCAGTCTTGGGTTGATGTAAAGATTTGATTAACAATTGGACCGAAGGCTTAATTTAAGAGACTTGACCCATTAGTCTCCAGGCAAGCCTTAATGGGCCATAGTCTCGCTAAAAAATTTCAGACACACCCCTTTTTCAATCTCGGTTTAGGCTCTAACCATAATCCCATTCGAAACCCTTTTCCTCGCCAAAAGTGCAAAACCCATCATCGAAGGTTCCTCACCCATTATACAAAAAAAAAAGGGTTCCTCACCCATAATCCTAATCTTGTACCAATCTCGAGCGATTGTGGAAGTTAATGAAGCACCGACACTTCAAAAACTTTACTGTGTCGTGTCCGACACTCTTCGACACTCCGACGTTTTCCGACACTCTAAAAAACTTGTTGCAAACTCGGCAAGTGCACCGGTCGTACAAGTAATAAAGTGATAAGAAAAGTTGTCGATCCCACGAGGACTGATGACCAAGCATTAATTTATCTATTTAACTAAAGTTGGATCGATCGTGAAAGGAAGTCTTTGAGAATATTGTAATTAAATTAAAAACAAAATTTTAAAATATTTATTTTTAGTTTTCAATATTCAAGAAATTAAATTCAGAATTAATAAATGCTAAAAATTGAGTTTAAGTTTTAATAAAAAGGCGTAGCTAGGATTCAACTTTCCCAATGGTTTCTTAACAAGTTTGCCTATTCTTACGATTACATTCATGATCAAATTATTAACAGTTCTTTCTATAATTGATTAAATCCCAATCCTTGGTAATTCAATCCTTTATTCTAATCCAAAGCCTAATCCCTTAGTACTTTTTCATAAAATAAGCATTAACGCAAAAACCTACGGTTATAGAATTTATAAGCATATCCCTAGATCATACAAATTCCAGCAATCAACCAATCAAAATCATACACCAACATTCTTATTGTCATGCACAATTCATATGTTTATCTACAAGTGATCAAGTCATAAATAAAACTAATCATGAATATTAGATTGATTGCATAATTTAAAAGCAAGAATGTAATTCATAAAAAATAAGTAAACATCAACTAAGAACCCATTGGTTCTGTCTCATCCTAACTACTAAAAGAAATTTAGCTATTCATAATTATAAAAACAAAATTAAAATATATTGTAAAAGAAATGGGGTTCATGGTAAAACTTGATTAATGGTGAATATCAATGATGCAGATTTGATGTCTTCCTTCTCCTCTGCACCGCCCCAGTATTACTCTTCGCTTTTTCCTTCGTCTCCGTCTCTGAGTTCTTCCTTCGCATTCCAGAAAATCCTCTTTTCAAAGCCTTCGTCGCGTTGTATTTAAAGAAATAAAATGTGGGCTTCAATTTCTGGACCAGCTCGTTGAAGCGAGCTGCTCAGCAAACATTTTTCTTCTTCTCGCTCACTTGCTCGCTGAGGCGAGTAGTGGAGCGAGCTTCACAATGCTGCTCGCCTACTTGCTCGCTGGTGCGAGCAGTATAGCGAGCCTGACCAAATAATTAATATTTAGTAATTTCCTTATTTTTCCTTTATATCCTCCGGATTGCAACAGGCTTGTGGTCGTTATCAGGTTAGTATTTTGTTATTCTAGTATGGAACAACCTGAAACAACAACAAATATTAGAGTCTTATCTTTTTGTTGACAATCTACTATCGTTTAATATTTTATTACTTAACACTATATTTTTAGTTATTTTAATTATTATTTGAACTATTTTTAACAATAAAAACATAGTGTCTTGGACACTTATCAAATCATTCCCAGATTTACTCATTGTTGTCCTCAGCAATGAATTGAATTAAAAACATGGAATAATGTAAGCATGCTTAATATACGACTAGACTGTATATCAATTTAAAAATGATCAGACTTAGATTAAAAAATAATAGGATTTTTAAGAACAAACAATTAACTAAGCAGCCTTGAAAGTAAGCAAGTTATAAAATCAAAGTATGAGTTCAGTCAATCATGCATAAAAACTGAGTTTTAACACATCCCTCACTAGATATATCAACTCACTCATCACTCATCTGTCTAAGGGTAAGTGTTTCACTCAAATTTTCACTGAAAAGATATTTTCATAAGCTTGGTAATATTCACACTTTCCACAGTTAATTCACATGCACAAAAGATCAAGAGGTCTTTATTCATATTGTAATGGGGCTGGGCTAAAGGTAGGATAAATAAGGAAAAATTAGCTAAAACATTTAAATATAGAAAGATCATGGTAAAGTATAAACACTCAAACAATAATCCTTTTTCTCCTTTCTTTCCTCCTTTTTCTTTTTCAGCACTTTTATTTCTTTTTCTGTATTTTTCTTTTTCAACCTCCAATACTTTTCTTTTTCCTTTTCTTTTTTCAACACTTTTATTTGCATAGAAACAATAAATATTTTATTTTTCACCATTTTTCAACCTTTGCTTTTGCTTTATTCACCTAACCTCCTTTTTCACCACTTTGAATTACATGATAAAATACTCATGTTTACACCCTACCATGAAACTTCTATAATCCAATCTTATTTAAGATAGATGTGTATGTGGAGTGGCTAATTAAGACAACAGGTATTAAGAAAAGACAGGTATTAAGAAAAGAAAAGGCTTAGGCTCAAAGGGCTAAATAAAAGATATCATAATGGTTGGCTTTTTGGCTAACTAGCTAAAATAATAAAATGCCTCAATCATTTCAAACATGCATGCAATTGCGAACAACCATTTTAAGGAGAAACAAAGCAAGTTCTGGTAATATTTTCAACAGTGAAATGCACACTGAAAAGAAATTTTCTGTTTAGGCTCAAACCTCACGGCTATATGTGTGCAATTTAGTAAATTATGCTCTTTCTCAATCACTCATACTATAATTTTATTAGTCTTACTGACTCTTAGACTAACTCAACAAATGCTTATTCCTAAAAAATAAAATATATTCTAAGGCATCACATGATAAATTAATTTTTACTCACTAATTCTAACTTAGCATGATTTCATAATTCAAACAAAGAGAAGAAACACAATAAAATAAAATAAAGAGGAATAAGGAAGAGAATTTTCCCTGTTTTTCTACAAAAAATTTCTTTGCAGTTCTACTTATCACAGGAATCATAGTTGTACTGGTTGCTACTACTACTACTAAATATGTGGTGCGGTGCATCCCCATTCCCAGATTTAGGAATTTGTTGTCCTCAGCAATTAATAAATCAAAAAGAAATAACTGCACGCAGCATCTCAACAAAAAATATCATCAGATAAAGTCGTCAGTAGCAATCATGCTCACAACAGAGTGAGAAAAATAAAGTCTGTACATCACCAGAATCATCACTAATCAAAACAAATAAAAAGAAAAATAAAACTAAAATGGTCCTAAAAATAAAAATCAAATTTGCTGACCTCATATCAGAACTCATCTGAAGCACTATGCTCTGAAGTGTCAGAAGCATAATCACTCTCTGGTGGTGGTGGAATATACTCTGCAGGTATGACTGGGATCGAGAGATGTCTCATGATGGCCTCGCTTTGCGACTGGATGTGATCCTATCGCCGCATCAGTAATGTAAGCCGCCTCTGTATAGAGCGGAACTGTGAAGAGATATGTCGGTGGCGGCATCGTCGTCCCCCTCTATCTGCTTGAATATCCCCCTCAGCAACACCCTCTACGGCCTCTGCATCATCATCTGGAACTGGCATAACTGGCAAGAAATCCTTGACAGAGAGCGTAACTCTCTGTCTAAGTGTCTCGCTATCAGATTAACTGATCACACCAGAATCAAGGAGCTGTGACCCATGACAGCTTGCCCACTATGAGTGATTAGAAACTCAAAAAAAGATTCAAAGATTGCGTTGCGTTGAGTTTTTAGTTTCAACTATTAGATTCGTTTGATTACGATTACCATTTTATTAAGTTTAATATAAATATTTGGAATATATTATGTTTCTTTGCAAAATTGACGAATATTACAAGTTTAATTTTATTTTTTTGTTAAATTATTGAATATTAAATATAATATACAATTTTTTTAGAATTAATGTGTCCTAACGTGTCGAAATCTAACATGTTTTAAAATTAACGTGTCGGAGTATCGTGTCACGTGAGTGTCGTGTCGTATCGTGTCACGTGTCGATATTGGCTCTAACGTGTTAAATATAATATTATTTAATATCAAAATGTATCCTAACGTGTCAAAATCTAACATTTGATACCACATGATAAGATCCCAATAGGAATGGAGGAATGAATCTACTAGGAATGGAAATTCTAACCCCAAATTCATCCACCAACACGACCTGTTAAGAACAGAGCGTATCTCACGCAACAGACCTCGGAATCGGACGTTTCCAAATCGAGGTGAAAGATCTCTTTGTGAATCGCGACTTTGACTCATGAATCACCGAAAACCGACGCGTATATCAGGAGATATGAACCGAGACTATTTTGGACGAAAATTGAAGGTTTGGGTGATAGGGTTTGATACAAGAATTTGTGAACACAATCAAGAAACGATAGCTGGAAGGCGCCACAATCTAAAGATTGATAAGCCTATGAACGCCACAAGGATTAGCACCCTTGATAAGTTCTGAGATTCTCAAAAGAACCCTAGAGAATTTTAGAATTGACGTATCTTATTGTATTGTGTCACGTGGTGCTACATGGGTGGAAGGTACCTGGCCGCTGTCACTCTTCTCCGTCTCCGCCGAACAAACACCGTCGGGATTCTTCCTCACCCAGCTATTGGTCGGTCAGAGGTCGAACCACACCCGCCATTCACACCTACAAGCAATTAGGTTTGAACATGTTTATTTATGTCTGGTCCATTAACTGTTGTGAATTTTTGTTTCTAGTTGGCAAAAAACTATCTTTTTCCTGTCACTATATTCACTTGTTGTGTTCGTGGGCTCTGATTTTGAATTAATTATTCCCTCTCTCAATATACGATGAATCATTCAAGCATAGAAGAAAAAAGACTTGAGCTTCGAGTCACCGGAAGAAGAATCAAATCGAATCACGTTCCCATTTTGACAGCATTTGAGGTAACAAGCTAATCTCATAAACTCTCTGGTTGTACCTATTTCGTACTCTCTCCGAAAATTTCATGGTTGCAATAGTTGGAAATTTTTGGGGTTTTATGAGGACTGCCACGAGTAGGAAAATTGGAAATAAGGAAGACCAATATGCATGATTTTCTGATGTTGACAACCATTTGAATGGTTGATGTCCCACGGTTGATGGGTTTTTGGAGCAAGAAAAGAGGATCTTCATTATGCACTCTACTTGTTTGATAAATTGCATGCATGAGAGGAATGGAAGTAAATTTTGAATTTACTTGGTCTTGACTTTGCATTCATGATTCTGAGATCCTCTTATAGTTTTTTGTTGGGTTGTGTAGACTAGTGTGCCCTGAACTTCGGGTTGGGGATTAAAGTGGAAAAAAAAATCAAATTTTTATTCCTTGCAGTCCATCTAATTGAGGATGTGCATGTACGATTGGAGTGAGTTCTGAAAATTGTTCTATGTTGGGGGTATTTGTGAAATCTGAGCTAGAGGAAACTTTTTGAGGAAAATTTGTTCAATTGTTGTGTTAACTGACTTCCTGAACACTGGAAATGAAATTTGAGTTGAGATTTTTTGTTTGTGGAGGTTTTTTATATTCATAAAATTAATGGCTGAAAATATGAAAATATTCGATTCTCTCCGAACAGGTGATGGGATAGACACCACCCAAATGAAGACACTTCATTCTTATCGTCTTGTTTTCTGTAGTCTGTTTTCTACGTTTACTAATTATTTGTTAACCTTGAAATTGTATTTACAGATAAGAGAATATGATGATAAATTTTTGAATACTGCAAGCATTATGATGTGTTTGTAGGATTCATCTAGTTATTTTAATTTACATAGCATGGATTGATTTGTTGAATCTAATGAAATATATGTTATTTAATTTAGACATTTTGCTTCTGAAAGTAGGGGTGTAAATGGGCCAGGCTGGCCCAGCCCGGCCTACATTGAGCCCAGTCCAGGCCCGGCCTTTCAGAAAAGTAGAGTAGGCTTAGGCTTATAAAAAAGCTTTTCTAATAAATAGGCCACAGGCTAATTTTGTCAAGCCCGGCCTACAGCCTTGTAGGCTGGCCTATTTAATTATTAAAATAAAATAATAAAATAATATTTATTTTATGTGGCAAAGACACAAAGTACCAAAAACTAATATCTTTTACTTTTTGTGCTATTTTATTTTATGAAAGAAAAACTTGTCTAATGTCTCCAAATTTTACATGCTGTTGCAGCTAGGGGTGCTAAATGAGCCAGGAGCCTTACAGGGGCCTTTGGCTTGGCTCGTGAAGGCCTGAGCTTACATGTCAAAAATTGATTGTTGGACCAAGGCTTGGACTTCTATAAAAGCTCGTTTAAGAAAAAGGCCTCAGTACTAGTGCATGCATGAATGGAACTTTCTTTACTCTATACAATTATTTTTTTTGCTTAGTATATATAGTGGGAGGAGGCCTACAAGGCCTGTAGGCCATGTCAGACTTTCTTATTTTTGAAAATGGGCCGGGCTTGGCCTACAAATAAAGCCTTTAATAGGCCAGATAGGCCGAATTTTTTTTTGACGTAAGCTTGGGCCAGGATGGCCAAAGCTCAGCCTATTTACACCCCTATCTGAAAGTGACTTAAATGCAAATTGTGATAAGTTGTTGTGATTTATGGTTCTGTTTAGGTATTGAAATTGTGATTTTTGTTTTAACAACAAAATTTGAGTATTGTGTGAAGTTGATTCATGGTTTTGTTTGAAAATTAAAAATTAACAGGCTAACGAGGCAGGTCAGGGCAGGTCAGGTCAGGTCAGACTAACAGTTAGACTCATATTATGTTATCGGATCAGGTCAAATTGAAATTTTTTGACATAGACTTGGACTTTTCGTGATAACGCTCAGCCCAAGTGAGTACACTTCCACCCCTACTTTCACCCAACCCTTAAATCTTCACCTTTGTGTTTAGGAATGAAATTTTTCTTGTTAGTAAGATCTTGTTGTAATACCCTCAATAAAAAAAAAATAAAAAAAATGAGTTCTATAATAAAAATTACAGCTGTACAATAAAATTTCTATAAAACTCTCTTCGTCAAACAATAATGCTATGGAAAAGCTAAATACGTAAAGTTTTGACATTTGCAGATGATAATATACACCAACAACTATCATCATTCCAAGTTATAAAACAGAGAAAATAAAAATAGAAACTATTTATGCATGATTTTAATACGGAAAAAATTATTTGTTATTTTAAAAAATATAATTGTGTCATTTAAAAAAAGAGAAATATACAATCTAATATTTTTTTATTTAAAATTTAAATTTAAAAAAATCATTCACTTTTTCTTCCATAATTTTTATTACTTATGTTTTTTCTCACTTAAAATGATGTAACTTCGTGTCTTTTAAAAGGACAAATACAAAATCTTTTTAATACTTTTTTTACTAAAATTTAAGATAGTTATTCTATCTACACGCTTGTTATTTTTTAGGATTGTTTTTTTTATTACTTTTAAAATTTTTTATAGAAATTCAGCAGTTCGCTTACAAAATCCATTACTTATTGCATCATTCATTAAAGTTAAAAATAAATAAATACACTTAATTATATTTATTTTATGGGAAAAATATTTCTGGCTTTCTGCAGATAAGTTATCTGCATTTATTCATAAAACGACGTCGTTTTGGTATTGAAATCTTAAACAATTATAAATATAAAGATTATTATAATCCTGAAATAAATTAAAATTACAAAAATACTATAATTTCTGCCTCAAAATAATATTGTATTGAATTTACTGCAAATAACTTATCTCCATAACTTTAGAAAAAGGGGACTCTTATTTTATTCACTCTGTAATTATTAATGCATCCCGTTTAATTTTAGTTTTAATGAATGAGCACGCATTAAATTAAGATTTTCTGGGAGAACCGACATATATTAAAAAAAAAAATATGTTTATTACCAAAAAAGTTTATCATCTTTACAATTAATCTAATTACTGTTAATTTATGTTAATCTAACGATTATAATTTATTAAAATTATTATGTCAGATTTATTAATTAATTATTAATTCTCATTAAATTATAACTGTTCGATTGATGAAAATTAACAATAATTAAGTTGGTTCTAAAGGTAAATTTATTTGGTAGTAATGACCGTTAAAAATATAAAAATAAAAACATGATTTGACGTAGAAACGACATGGTTTGATTGATCCCTCTTTGTTTTTAGTTGTTTCCTTTTCTTCTTAACGTCGCTCACTTGCTCTTCTTCTTTCTTTCGTTTTCGAACAGGCACTGAAGCCTTCGTGACAATAGCAAATAAATGAATTTTAGTCCTTCATTTTCCAAATTTAGACATTGAAGCTGATAGTTCCTCTACGAGCTGAAGATTCTTCAGGTAAAAAAAAATCCTTAACCAGACATTTTTATTTTATTTTATTTGTTATCTAAATCGCATTGTTTGGTGATTTTGATAAAGCGTGGAAACCTAGATTTTCGATTTACAAACCAAAATCCATGGCTCAATAGTATTCGCACATTACCTGTATGACAAAAAACCTGAACAATGATTTGTTGTGATGAAAATTTGAATTTCTTTTAAATTACTTTGGTGTGAATGAGGTCAGTTCAGTTTGTTCGGAATGCTATTTTAGCCCGACTTTTGAATGCTAAAAATTTATTCATGGCATCATGCTTATGGTTGGTTAGAGTAACTTATTGTGAAAGAAGGAATTTCCCATTATGAATCAATCCATTAACTTACAAGAATGTTCCTATATTTATAGGACCAAGAAACTAATACAAAGATAGCTAAAATTGTTAAACAGAAGCAGCTGCGTTAACAACCATCCTACTAACTGCATAACTAACCCATAACCGTAATTAAGATGAGAAACAGAAAGTGGTTAATTGATGGCTTTTCTATCGTGATTAGTAGCTGCACGAATTACATCACCATCCACGCTGGCACTTGGCTTAGCATCTATACCACTTAGCTGACTAGTAGCAGTGTCATTTGACTGATGAGATATGGGCTCACGGTTGGGATGCTTATTGGGCTCTGGGTTATTTTTTGTTACCCCCCCCCCCCCCCCCAAGATGGTCGTAGGAGATCAACGAGGCCCATCTTGGAAACAAAAGAGCCGAAAGGAGAGGAAGTCAAAGACTTAGTGAAAACGTCGGCGAGCTAGTCTGAGGATTTAACCGGAAAGAGACACAACAAGCTAGAAACAATTTTTCACGCGTGATGTGGCAATCAATTTCGATATGCTTGGAGCGCTCATGAAAGGAGGGATTATGAGCCAAGTAGATGGCTGAGCGATTGTCACAAAAGGCGGAGGCAAGTTTTGTCCATGGAAGGTACAGGTCCTGGAAAAGGAACTGAAGCCATTGTAACTCACAAGAGAGAATAGCTAAAGCACAATACTCAGCTTCAGAAGATGAACGAGAAACTGTAGATTGCTTTTTAGATTTCCATGACACGAGGGAAGTCCCAACAAAAACACAAAACCCAGAAATGGTCTCCTTGTATCAAGGTAGCAAGCTCAATCAGCATTGGAAAAGGCATGAACCTAGAGGTTGGCAGCTGCAGAAAAGAAGAGACTAGTTGAGGGGGAACCTTTGAGATATTTAAGCACGAAGGGCAGCGCCCATGTGTGCATCTGTTGGCTGAGACACAAATGGAGATAACTGTTGGACAACAAAACATATATTGGGTCTAGTGGTGGTCAGATAGAGGAGACGACCAACTAAACACCGATAAGGAATAGGGTCAGCCAACACAGTTCCCTCGGTACGAGACAACATAACCGAGGCATCAGCTGGTGTGGAAACTGGTTTTGTGCCTAGCAAACCAGCATCCGAAATGAGTTCAAGAGCATATTTTCTTTGATTCACAACGATACCCGTCTTAGACCTTGCGACTTCAAGTCCTAAGAAATACCGAAGATAGCCCAGGTCCTTGATCTTGAATTTGTCATCGAGATAGGACTTCACTTGAGTAATTTCAGCAAGAGAATTACCAGAGAGCACAATGTCGTCAACGTATACCAAAAGAACCGTGAAGTTGGATGGAGTTTGTTTGACAAACGTGGAATGATTAGCATTGGTCTGATGATATCCCAATGTGACTAAGGTAGAGGACAACTTAGCGTACCACTGACGGCTCGCTTGCCTTAAGCCATAGAGGACTTTTGTAATTTGCATACGAGATTGGATTGAGGAATTGAGAGACTAGGTGGCAATTGCATATATTTCTCTTCATGGAGATCCCCATGAAGAAAAGCATTGTTGACATCAAATTTAGTAAGATGCCAACCGGTGAAAAGTGTCAAAATAATCAACCCCCTCTTGTTGAGTGAATCCTTTAGCAACTAAGCGGGCCTTGTATCTCTCAATGGTGCCATCAAATTGATACTTGATTTTGTATACCCATTTGCAGCCAATGGGTTGTTTGTTAGGGGGAAGTTGCACCAAAGTCCATGTCTGGTTTTGTTCGAGTGCAGTGAGCTCAGCCTGCATGGCCTGTTGCCATTTTTCATGCTTGGCAGCTTGGGCGTATGTGTGAGGTTCAGTGTGTGTGCAGGAACTCAAGCAGAAATGTTTGTAAGGAGGACAATAGTTATTGTAAGACAAAACAAAAGACAAAGGGTAAAAGGAGGTACATGAAGACGAAGAATAGTGCTGAACTGCACAAAAGCCACAGTGATAGTCTTTGAGATATTTTGGAGGAACTTTGAAGCGAGTAGAACGACGAACAAGCACATCAGGCTGCGTATTTGGTTGATCATGCGATGGGGATGTATGAAAGATGGGTCGGTTGGAGGTTGAAGCATCATTGTTGGAATGGATATTATGTGGGTGCACTTGTGTAGTGAAGGGGGAAGAGGGTGTTTGTGGGTTGGGCTGATTGAGGGCTGAGGTGTTATTATTTGGTTGGTTATTAAGTAGGAACGATGGAGGCATTTGTGAAGTGGGTTGGTTGAAGGCTAAGGTGTTATTATTTGGTTGGGTGTTGAAGGGAAACATTTAGGCTGCTGATATGGGCTCATGTAAAGTAGGCATATGAGGCATATCAGAAAGGTCAGGAGGTGGTGAGAAGGAATTGTTCTCATGGTCGGGCTGCATAGATGTCTTGAAAGGGAAAATATTCTCATAAAAGATCACATTACGAGATATGAATACTTCATGAGATTGCAAATCATATAATAGATAGCCTTTTGTTCCTTTCTTGTAACACAAAAAGACTGCCTTCGTTGCTCGAGGAGAGAATTTCGTGTGATGTGAAGATAGTATGGATGCATAACTAAGGCATCGAAAGACACGTAAATGTATCAAAACAAGAGGGCTGCCATATAATAATTCGTAAAGGGTCTTATTGTTGAGGCTTAGGCTGCTCACCCGGTTCATTAAGTGGACTCCATGGGTGACTGCATATGACAAGAGTTGGATGGGTAATGATGCTTGGAACAATATGGCACAAGCCACATTCACTACATGCTGATGTTTGCGCTTAACAACATTTTGTTGTGGTGTCTCAACGCAATTTGTCTTATGGATAATGCCCTTGGATAGAAAGAAATCATTCATTAGAAACTCCTTTCCATTATCACTACGGAAGACTTTAACATTGGAGTCAAATTGAGTTTCAACAAATGCCACAAAGTTCCGAATATGCGGTCTAGTTTCACTCTTGTTTTTCATCAGAATTAACTAAGTGAAGTTTGAAAAATCATCCACTAAAGTTAAAAAATATCTATCACCATGTATAGGTGGAACAATGAAAGGCCCCCATATGTCAGCATGCAAGATATCAAAAATCTTGTTTGTTTTAGTAATACTAGAATGAAATGGTATCTTTCTTTGTTTGGCTAAGTGACAAGCATCACAAGGGTCTATATGTTGGAAGGAAATAAAGGGAAATTGTGCTGACATCAATCGAAATACATTTTCTGATACGTGACTAAACTTCTATGCCATATCAGATGTGAATCAGATGACTTGACCACCTTTGTAGACACTTTATTTGTAACAATTGCAGCATCAGCAGTCTGGAGAGCTTTATTTTTCTTGGAAACATCTTTAATGACTATCATATAAAGGCCATTCCGGTGCTTAGCAATACCAATCGTCTCCTGGGAGTACATCTGTTTGATGAAACACAATGAACCATAGAAAGTGGGACAACACTGCATGGTTTGAATTAGTTTGGAAACAAAAATGAGATTTACACAAAATTGTGGCACTTAAAGAACATTGAATAAAGTGAGTGTGGATGACAACTTTATAGTGCCAGAGAAATTGCAAATAACATGTGTACCATTAGGAAGCACAATGTAAATGGGATCAATTTTATGCAAGGAAGAATAGAATGAAGACATGTGCGTGATGTGATCAGTTGCGCCTGTGTCTATGACCCAACTAATATTAGAGATACCTTAAGCATCCGTGTGTGCATTAGAAACCTATGTTACATTCACAACATGTGAAAGGTTATCAGTAAGAGGTGTAGGTGGCATTGAGTTTTGTAAAAAAGACATAATATGCTAATATTGGTTAGGAGATAGTGAGGTTTGGATATTTGGTTGCTGCACAAGCTGATTCTCTCAGGTTCACTCGCATTTTGCTGTGTTGCATTGTTAGCAGCATGCACATTCCTTGAGCAATAACCAGGGGGATATCCATGTAGTTGATAACATGTCTCAATGGTGTGGTTGATTCTACCACAATGAGTGCAGAGCTTGTTGCCTCTGCCTCCTTGGCCTTTTCTTCCACGACCTCTGCCACCACTGTTGCCTCTTCCTCCTTGATTATTAAACATTCTTCGATTTCTATTGTTGAAAGAGCTGCTACCACCATTGTTGAATGTATTACCAGAATTGTTCGAGGCTATAAACGCTTGTGGATTATTCACAGAGGAACTTCCACTATCAGATCCAAAATGCCTTTCTTGTTGGACAATCATTGAAAAGGCCTTGTTTACATTCGGAAGTGGATCTATGAGCATTGTTTGGGAACGCACAGAGGCGTATTGGTCGTTTAGTCCCTTCAGAAACCAAATAACTTGGTCCCTGTCACGATACGCACGCATTTTAGCAATTGCTCCGCAGCTGCAAGGTGGAAGACATTCACACGAAGGAAGAGGTTTGAGATTCTGCAACTCATCCCACATAGTTTTGAGGTGAGTGAAGAACTTAGTAACACTACGATCTTCTTGTTGCAATCTGTAGATTTCTTCTTGAAGGTCTAAAACACGAAATACATCTGTTTGGGCAAATCTTTTGCGCAAATCTAGCCAAGCATCTCTAGCACACTCTATCCATAAGATGGACTTGGCAATGTCTTCCGAAATGGATCTACGGGTCCATGTCATCACCATAGTGTTACAACGCTACCACTGTGGAAAACTTGGATCATCAATACGAGGAGTGATGATGTTGCCATTGATGAATGCGAGCTTATTTTTGGACAGAAGAGCCACTGTCATACCACGGGCCCAAGTATGGTAATTATTACCAGTAAGAGGAGGATTCACTAGCACCAATGAGGGACTCTCATTGGGATGGAGATACATTGGATGTGAGGCATTGGTGTTGAAATCCATGAATGGATTATGAAGCTCCATGAAAAGAGAAGCAAGAAAAACAAGATTCTGGAAGAGAGAAAATGGCTACGAAGAATTGCAGAAGCTGAGAACCAGAGCTCTGATACCATATTGTGAAAGAAGGAATTTCTCATTATGAATCAATCCATTAACTTACAAGAAGGTTCCTATATTTATAGGACCAAGAAACTAATACAAAGATAGCTAAAATTGTTAAACAGAAGCAGCTGCGTTAACAACCATCCTACTAACTGCATAACTAACCCTTAACCGTAATCAAGATAAGAAACAGAAAGTGGTGACAGAAAATGGTTAATTGACGGCTTTTCTATCGTGATTAGTAGCTGCACGAATTACATCACCATCCACGCTGGCACTTGGCTTAGCATCTTTACCACTTAGCTGATTAGCAGCAGTGTCATTTGACTGATGAGATATGGGCTCACGGTTGGGCTGCTTATTGGGCTTTGGGAGATTACGTATTATAACTTTCCCTTATCTACCCAAAAAAAAGAGAGTAACTTTCCCTTCGTTCACTTTCAGTGAAGGATTTTAAAATGTACTAAGCTATAACCAACTCTGAACTTAATATTCAGTTCTTAGAGTATTAAAGAACATGTTGTGCAGTGTGCTTACTCTTTTGCTAATAGAGAAGCCTGATTTGTTTTTTTATTGTAATATTTTGGGCATAAGTCTACTTCCTTTCCATTCTGTTTTCATCTGGGAAAATAAAGGCTTATTTTTATTTTAATTTATTTTAAGACATTATATATAAGATGGTTGATTCACGGGCAATGTTTAGCAGTATTTTAGTCCTCTCCATTCCCCCACGGAAAGGAAAGTGTTAATCCTACTCGCTTAGAGTAGATTTGTAGTTTTTGGTTTTTCCACTTTCTCATTTTTCAGTAGGCTTTGAAAAGCAAGTTTTGTTCTGGATAAATAGTGACAGGATTTTGAAATATTTATGAGATATTTCATGTATGTATGACTAGGCTTTTTATTGGAATTCTTATCGAACAATATGAATTTATGTCTTAACAGATTGCTTGGAACACTTTAACTTCGGAATTGAAAAGAATTCTAAGTTTGAGATATATAAATATTATCACGTGCAGCACCGGCAAGAATGCCAGACCCTATTTAACATATGAGCGAAAGCATTAATGTTTAGCAGAGTGGCAAAATAATTTGAGATATTTGTGTATGGTGGCAATAGTTAACACGGTTTTCAATCTCTCTTTTGTGCAAATAAGATTCAGCCAGTAAGCTGCATGTTCTGCTCTCTTTCTTCCTTCTGTTTTAACTTCCATTAGTTATCTGGTTCATCCACCTAGTCCAATCCAACTCTCAGAACACTGCTCATAACTTCGTTTTAGCCAAGCATTTCTGGAGCCAGAAAAGCACTTGTGGGGGTACTAATAACATCTTAATGGAGTCTCTCTCTCTCTATTTTTCTCTTGATCAAATTACAAAATCATTTTTCAAGTGTCAAATGTTCTTAAATTTTTTTACGGACTCATTAGGTTATAGATGCTTCTCTGAACTAACAGTAACGTTTTAGCCCATAAAATGTAATTGCACACACGATCTAGTCCTAGAGGATGTGACAATGCAAGCCATGAAACTGCTACCAGTCTACTTTTTTTTTTTGGATACAACCAGTCAACTTTGCAATGGTAAAACCGTTCCTTCATGACTGAAAGGTCATGGGTTCAAATCCAGGAAACAGCCTCTTTACAATTATGCAAGGATAAAGTTGCGTACAAGGATTTCCTCCACCCCTCACTCGCTAGCCGAGTTTAGTGGAGAGTGGTTTTTTTGGTTTTTATACAACCAGTCGACTTTTATCATGGATAAATCATAGTGACTTATATGTATAGAATATGATTGTTTACAGTGTTTTTGTGCAAATGACTTTCTAGTTTCTAGTGTGTCAGTAGTTTTTTGTCATATTTTTCTTTATTTCTATGCGTTGAGTTATAGTCTCTTAAGACTTGTATAGAATGATTAGTCTACATCTATGACTTTTTGTTGGGGCAAATAACAGACTGCATTTACCAACAAAAATGACTTTTTGTTGTATGCAGAGCTAAACACGTTGCACAGGTCAAAGAGGCATGTTTGACATTTTTCCTCTTCCATTGAGTTTTGAGTCTTGTAGGTCATTGTTGTGTACCATGGATCAGACACAAAACATAGATAAAAACATTGTTTCCTTCTTGATGAGTAGCCATTTGTGTTCTTTATAGGTTCCTTTTTCGTTCTTCACTCAACCATGATGATATTCTTGTTCTCATCAATGAGTCAAAAATCTTCTAACTTAATGGTTCCAATTTATCTATTCTAGAATGGGTTAAAGCTTTGGAAGGCCCATGGATTGACCCTAGCTCACAAGGCCCTCTGGGATTTTTGGCCTTGCGGACTTTTGTCATTGTGGGCTTTTTGGTCCTATGGGCTTTTTAACCCTGACCCACATGGTTAGGGCTTAATGGAGTGGGCTAGCCCATATTGATAGCTTTACCTATTACCATGCTGAATCCGTTGTGAATTTACACTGCTGCAATTGCATCTGAGGAGTGAAGAGGAAGGGCATTTCTTTGTCGAAGTGGGCCATCTTTCAGAGTAGAAGGTAATGTTTTCATTTCAATTCACAGTCTGTGGAGATGACTGTGTTGATCATCAAAATTGAGGTATTTGGGAAATTACCAATCACAAGGATTTCCGCTCAATATTTAAGCAAGAACAAAACTGCTGAGATAAGTAGCTGGTTGGATGGAAAAACATATTTTAGAATATTCCATAATCCTTATATTTGGTTTGCAGTTATATTCCTTAGCTGTTCTAAACAATAGTATATTTTCCGGTGGGTGTCAAATGAATTCTTGTTGTGACTTGTGAAAACATATTACACAAATTTCTGAGGACTATATTTTGTTTACAACTTTCCAGGAGTTTCTTTTCTTCCAATATGGATGACACCATGAAACAGCTCCAAAAGAAATTAACAGAGGTGGAAGTGGAAGCTGAACACCTTCTTTTTGCCCGACAACAGGTGATTCAAATTGAAAGTGATGCTATTACAAGGACTTACAAACAAATATAAGAAATGAAATTCTTTAAAAAATAAATAAATAAATAAATCTAGCTTTTATTGTTACATTGATTACAAGAACGTGGCCTTAAAGAGAAAGTAGGTGGTAAAGTTTATAATTATTATTTGTTCTGCAAGGTAAACTTTTGGTTTTTATAAAGTATGTATATGGACAGTTTGGGGGATTTTATTTAGAATGTATTGCTGCATTTTAATATTCTCTTGGAACATGATAAGGTTGAATTTGAGACACCTTGCTTTCAGATCTGTGGATTTGATTTGTGAAGGGATTTAACATGCTTTGTTTTGGAGAGTATATCTGGCGTTTAAAAATGTTAAGAAACTTTGGTATTTTTTATAGTAGTAATTGGTGTTGTTTTCATGGGGTATAGGATTAGTTTATTCAAGTGTATAATTTGTATAATTAATATGCTACAGAACTATTTCATCTTGAAGACATGTTATTGTGATGTGAAGAATGGCATGATAGATTCTTTTTATTAGTTTATTAAATGCATGAGATATTTTTGCAATAATGTGATTGCACTCACTGCTGTATCACTCTTATGTGCTTCGCCTCAAGTGGGCTATATGTAATTAGTTACATGACCTGATAGCACTTTTCTTATAACTATACTTTGTCCGTATCACTCCTCACGCTGAAAACTTCACTAAGCTTTTAGCTTGTTAAAAAAGGGAAACCCAAATTTAAATGACACAAATAATTAAAATTCAACTCATCAAGCAAAGAACATAGGCGACTGGCACTCTCCTGAATAACAAAACCTTAGCTTTGTCTGTGGTAGTTAGTTCTTAGATTAGATGCCTTTGGCGTTATTACTTAGTTCGCCCCCTATTGTCTATTTACTTCTCCTAGTCCTTGACACATCTCCCAGACACAACAAAGCTATCTTTGGCCTTCTACTTGGCAGGATTCCTCTCAACCTTCTCTGAGTTGGTCCATCCTGGTTCTCACATCACCCAAAAAAATACTAAACTCCCTTTACTAGTATCAAAGTCACAGAGCCAACAACTTCATTGAATTGAAAGTAAAACAAGATACTGAGAGCATTTAAGCAGAACCCAAACATCAAGTCCACCCCAAAAACTACGAAGAACCAACCAAAGTGAAAAATGACTTATTCCATTCACTTTGGGTTCACAATAAATAAATAATTACTTAATCCTAAATTAATTACCGTAGTACCATGCTATGTCCCTAACAACCTTCAATTCAATACCATAGTATCAATTGAGAAACCTTTTGCTCATTATGTCAAAAAATACTATTTTTCTTGTACTGAATCATTTTTTTAATAGCTTTTCTATGAAATTAAGAAGGTATGTAATTGTCCTTTTTGGTAAAAATGCAGCTGGTTGAGAATGATAAATTGAGAAATGGAAACAGAGAAGCACTTACTGCATTAAGGAAAAGGGCTCGGACAACAAATAATGTTCCAACTCCTTTTGAATCAATCATGAAGGGAGTTGCAGGGACCAGTTCAAGACCTTTGGTGCAAGAGGTGTGTACCACCTGTGGCAACCATGACTCTTGTGAAAAGACGTGGATGATGTTTCCAGGAACTGATCTGTTTGCCAGAATTCCATTTCATGCTGCTCACACTATATTGGAAACAGGTTCTTCATTTATTCCTGCCCACCCTAACCTCTAACCCTTAACATAATAATAATAATAATGAGAAAAAACAAAGGTAATAGTTGCCTTTTTTATTTTGCTGGGCCAATTCTTCATTCATTCCTCTGCCCATCCTATCCTCTAACCCTAATATATATATATATATATATATATATATATATATATATATATATATATATATATATATATATATACATGTATGGGGAAGGTTATTATTACACCGGTGTATGAATAAGAAATCTTACACCAAATCTTGACCATTAATATACTTGCATTTAACTGCTCACATACATAATAAATAAGAGCCGTTGGATATATTCTTATAATAAACAAATGATTGAGCATGGATGATCATTATAATGCATCAGCTTATAGTTCAGAAGTTCTGATGAGACTGATTACCTCTGTTCCCGTTCTTTTAATGATCATTATATTAGAAAGTCTTAAGTTTGAAATATAGTTGTGAATCATGTCCTTTTATTGGAAAACTGATTTCTATTAACAATTGCTTAGTATCTTATTTACCATGTATTTACAGATCAAGCACAGCTTGACTTTGAGGCAAAGAGACTACAGAGCATTGTGAAGGAAAAATCTTACCTTATTTCAGAGACAGGTGCCCTTGCTGACAAGATAAGTCCAGCAATGCTCAAATCTCTTGTAACCTTAAATGACAAGCCAAAGTAAGATGCTTTGTACCGACTATAATGCAAAACCTTGTTGGGGTATTAACTAGGTAGAAAATGACAGTGTTTTCTGGAAGAAACTTTCTTGAGGCATTTAGGTGGCTTATCTAGTCTGTTGCTTTAATTTTTGTATAAAATGCTTTTTGTATTCTTTTTCTAAATTTATGCTATGGCTGCTATATTTAATCTTAGAAATGAAAAAATTGGCGCCAGGGAACTGAGTAGATATGGATGAGAATATGTATTCGATCTTTCCCAGTATCCTCTTTGGGAGAGGTTTAAAGCCTTAATACCAGAAATTGCCTCAAATCAGACTAGTCAGTAGGGGTGTCAATATAGGTTTTGACACGCGGGTCGACCCGCGACACGACACGAAAATTCGTGTTCGGGTTGACTCGCAAAAAAATTCGTGTCGTGTTCGTGTTGAGAAAAATGACACGTAAAAAATTCGTGTTCGTGTCGACCCGTATTTTTTTAAATTATTTTTTTTTTAATTTTTTATTATTATTTTTTTAATTTTTTTTAATTTCGATCCATTTTTTTAAATTTTTTTTGTCAATTACCGTTTTGACCCCTATTTTGCGTGTTATTCGTGTCGTGTCGTGTCAACCCGCAAAAAATTCGTGTCGTGTCAGTGCTGAAGATTTTGACACGAATAAAAATTCGTGTCGTGTTAGTGTTGATGTATTCGTGTCGTGTCGAATTCGTGTTGTGTCAACCCGTTTTGACACCCCTAGTCGCAAAGCGATGAACCGATTGGAATATCTTCGGAAAAAAAAAATTGGAAAAATTGGAAAAATTGTTACACATTGGATCCTTCAGTTCTTTAACTGCTATATTGAAATGATAGGATGATTTAATTGTCTTCCAAAGGAATAGGCCAGAAAATTCCCTCGTTATATTTAGGTAAATGCATTGTGTTTCTTGTGGTTCAGTGATAGGTTTCCAGAACGAATAGCTATATGAGAGGGCATCCCCTATAACTTTATGGGATGATGCCAACAAGTTTTGTCACCAATCAAGTGATTTGAAGGCATGCCCTATAACATGTACCTTAAGGTTAAAGATATATAGGAACTAAAATCGTTTGGTTGTAGACATGAAGCAAAAACCTTGCTAATAAGAAACAGACTTTTAGGAAGATGGAAGATGGGGTCTCGTGGTTATCAGGATTTGTATCTATTTGGTATAACAATATATTATTCTCAAGTTTCTACAAACTAAAAAATAGCACCATTTATCTAGTGATTCGTATGTGTATCCAATGTTGTAAAAATCGAGTTTCTCTATAGAAACGGAAAGGGACAGTAAAAACGTAATTCATAGAAACGACACGAAACATAAAGTTTTTACTACTTAAGATCAAGATACAAAATATATATATATATATATATATATATATATATATATATATATATATATGAGACAGGATCATTTGACACCGGTGTCAAATTTAAAGTTTGACACCTCATCTGAGAGTCGTTAAATCAAAAAAGATCAACGACTATGATTTGTAAGCATGTGACACCGTTGATCTTTTGTGATCTAACGGCTCTCAGATGAGGTGTCAAATTTTAAATTTGACACCGGTGTCAAAGGATCCTGCCTCTCTCTCTCTCTCTCTCTCTCTCTCTCTCTATATATATATATATATATATATATATATATATATATAAATAAAATATCACATAAATCACTACTTAAAATTTAATGAACAATTTCATATTTAAAAGATATAAGTCTCGTAACTATATAAGACATAAGTCCAAAAATATAAAAAAGATTTTAACAATTACAAACAAGTTCCAAAATATCAAAAAAAATAAAGGGTAATAATTTTTAAATTATATCAATTAATTCAAATCAAATACATCATTTTGCATCAGTTGCATGACCTCAATGTCCTTTTCTCTTGCTCCTTTTAACAATTTCATTTGCAATAAAACATAATAGATTTATTCAAAATCCACCTCAGCTTGGTACTTCAACTTTTCACCAATAGCTTCACCTTCTTCTTCCTGTGCAATAGCAACTTAACGCGAGGGTTTTTTTTTTCAAATAGCGAGAAGAAGATACTACGCATTTTGATTTAGGGGAAATGGAAATAGGTTTTATTTTTATTTATTTTTTTTAAAAAGGGTCATGGGTTAAAAATTGACCCGATTCAGTTTTCTTTTCTTTTTTGGTATAAGACCGGTTCAGTTTTTTGGTTTAAGTAAAAACGCATAAACTTGTGCTTTTATCATATTTACGTTTTTGCACGGAGTTTTTATCAGTTTTTACTAAGGAGAGTTTTTACTTGTGTTTTAACCCATATTACTTCAGTAAAAGCATAAAAAGGTAATTTTTTTATTTTTATACTAATTTTTGACAATAATGTATGTATCTACATATATATAGACTAACTAGTAACCGCCATGCTCTCTTTTATACCTCCAAGACAACTTTGCAGTATCAAGCTCATTATGATCCAGCATAGGAGAGGGGTACCTAGGCCTTCTTTAAACCCAAAATCTCTTATCTTTTGGGCTGGATCAATCTTGTTCATGTTATTGTAAATTTGAAATGAAGAATATCGTGTAAAAAAAACGAAAAAGTTTCTCGTTGAGGGGTGTCATGCCTCAAGCTTCAAAAGACAGCTTAAAATGGTGCTTATATTATGCAGGATCACGAGTGGAAATTAACCTATTAATAAAGGATCATATTAAACCCAAGATTTTTAATTGATGTTATTTGTTCTTGACTAGTAACATGACTTAATATTCAACTGTCAAAACATTCTATTAGTTTTGATAACATTGCAGTCGCAAACGAAGATATTGTGATACTGCTGCCCTGATTCGACATGATTAGTTAATTAATCTATAAATAGAGGTGTGTCAAATTTTAAATTTGACACCTTATCTGATAGCCGTTAGATCAAAAAAAAAATCAAAGGTATCATATGCTTGTAAATCAGAGTCATTGATATTTTTTGATCTAACAGCTCTGCTCTCATATTAGGTGTCAAATTTGAAATTTGATACTGGTGTCAAAGAATCCTACCTCCTATAAATATATAAAGAAATTAAAATAAAAAACAAATATCTAGTTTATTACGTGTGTTGCTTGATTTCTTTTATGAAATTAATGTTTCTTTTGCAAAAATAAATAAAATTATTTCCTGCAAACCCTAAAATGATTTGAAAACAAATGCAGGATAATTTAGTAAAGTTTATAATACAATAGGAGAGTAAATTTTTAAAAATATCAAACATTTTTTTTAATCTCAAAATAATATTATTTTGAAATTAGAATAAATAATTTATGTTCAGTTGCAAATTTTCCCCTTTTATATATATCTTTCTTATAAAAACTGGAAAATTTTGCCAAATTCAGCTAACGAAATAGTTTGCAATTCTTATCTAGTTACAATCAAGTTTAAAAAAAAGAAAGAAAGAAAGATTGCGAAACCCTGAAATAAATTCTCTTGACAGTAAGAAATATGATTTTAAATTACTTAAAACTAAAACAAAAAATATTTAATACTCAGTTTTTAGCTTAATTATTCAATAAGAAAAGAGGAAATAAGGATAAAACATTTAACGTAAAGCAAGTAGGAGACATTCCGTACAGAGGGTCAACGTCTATGTCAGCCTTTTTTCACTTTCTCTCTCTTCAGCTGCCACTACTCTGCTCATTTTGAACTCTCATGCACTCTCATCCACACCCATTCACTTACACTAATTTAATGTACTTGCCAACTTGAACCACCCTATGACACGTGTTCAAAGCCTGAGGCGAGTGCTTCGGTTTGTTGCGCGTTTTGCGCGTGGGATTTTTCAATTCGGACAAACTATAGTTGATACGTTCCCAAATACCATCGACATCGTACATTGTGGATACGTTCCCCTGCTAGTATTATATACATGAAGCTTATTACAATTTATAAATTCTTATAAATTGTAATAAATTATTACAATTTTTTTTATAACTACTCTTAATGATGTATCACACATAATTATATATATTTAATTTAACAACAGTTACTAATAAAGTTATTGTTTTAATATTGGGGATTACTTCTCTCATCTAGTATGAGAAAAGTTCTCTTATATTAAGAGATAAATAAAGTAGGTCTCACAAAATTTTAGAAAAAAGAAAAAAAGCAAAAAGAGAAGCATATGAGAGTAATATGAGAGATCAACCTCATCCAACATAAGAGTATGATTTTCTTTTAATATTATACTAAAAGTGATGGAACTTGACCAAAAAATTTGCAAGGACAAAGATGTTATTAAATTCTTCTAACGTGACTTATCAAAAAGGACTAAATTGTTAATTAAATTCTTCAAATCTAGTTTAATTGTATAAAATAAAATAAAAATCTTCAAATTTAGATGATTAGTTCATAAATAAAACGTTAAAAATGTGTTTTTTTGCCTATCAAAAGTTCAAAAAGAAGTGTCCCAAAGTTCTGTGATCTAATCTCGAAAAAAAAAAAGTTATGAGATCTATGTTGACAATTTAAACTACTCAGAAAAAGTCATACTGAGACTAGGCTGTTATTCAATAAATTACATTGGAGTATGTGAAGAGTGTATAAATATTGATATATTCGCTTATATATGAGTGTGTATCCTACTATGATTATGAAGCATAATGACATCATAATTACTAAAAAAATACTCGTAATTTGAACCCAACAAAAACCAATAATTACGAGAAGTGTTACATATGATATGCGATAGATATTACTACCTATTCACGAAAAACAACTTTTGGGGCGAAATTTTTAAGTTATATTTGTCTTATCATTGATTTGATGTAACGAGCCAATTAAAATTAAAAAGAAAGTGAAAGTTGTGCAAAGAAGAGTAAAAAAAAAATTAATTTAAATATCAATTTTTGAATGGAAATCGCCTATAGGCCGGTGCATCAAAAGTAATCTCTTTTTAAGAGTCGGTGTCTGTTACAATTGTTGGTAATTAATCTCAAATTTATTGTCATTTTTTTTTGTTTTATAAATGTTCATCATTCTAGTTTGTCATTTGTATAATCTCAATTAATATCCACATTTTTAGATTTATACTCATAGTTGGCAACATCTATTACTATCTAATCATTGTTAAATAAATTTAATACAAAACTTAGTATTAATTGTAT